AGGGGCCCAGGCCCTGGGCAGGGCTCTAACTGTCGGTGCTCCTTGGGCAGCGGCGCCGTTTCTGGGCCTCCTCTGCCAAGTGAGGGTGGAGAAAGTGGCGGACCCGTGGATTGCACCACCGAACCTTCCCTGCGGGGCCTCTCGGGAGGGGCGGGCCGATGGCTCAACCCCACACTGGCATCCTGGCTGTTTTCACAACGCCAGGGTGAGACTGGCTCAGTGGGCAAAGTTCAGACGTGGGCAGCGTGGAGGCTTCCAAGATCAATGGCAGCAATAACCACAGCAGTAATAGTAGCTGCCGTTTGTTGAGCATCCGTTTGGTGCTAGAGCGCGGGAGGGGGGAGGAGGGGGAGGGGGACCTGGGGGAGCCCCTGGCCTAGACCCTGGGAATTGCTGTGGTGAAAGGAAGTGCTGTGTGGGGCGCCCCCTGGTGGCCACAGCAGAAACTGCATGCAGGAGATGAAGTCAGCTTCCTGCCCATCTTCTGGAATGTTCCCTGCATGCGGGTTCTGTGCCAGCCCGGGGCAGGGTGGGGCCGTAGACCCTAGCTACCCTCGGGGCAGGTAGCAGAGGCTGGGCTGGGTGCTCCAGAGTTGTGGTGGGAGTAAGACAGTCCCTGAAACCTGGCTGTCACTGGCCCCCACCCCCCAGCCCAGGCAGGCTCCCAGCGCTCCCTGCATCCTGCTCCCTTCTCTCCAGTCCTGGCCCAGGTGCCTTGCTTCTGCATCAACTTGCTCTAGCCTCCAGGCCTCAAGGCCTCCGCAGCCCTCCTTGGCCTTCCTCCACCATCCAGATCCTGACACGGCACAAACATGGCCCCGTCTCTTTCCTGGAACCCCGCCCCGTGAGGCTCCTGTAGGCACTGACAAGGGCAAACTCCTACTCATCCTGTAAGGCCCGCCCAGATGTCCCTGTTTTCTGTGCAGTGCCCTGGCGGGGCTGGGAGCCTCACGGCTTCCTTCTTCACAGCCCCGATAACGATAATAATGGTCAATACTTACTGAGTGCCCCACGTGCCGGGCACTGCCCTGAGCACTGCCGGTGTGTTAACCTGTGAGAAGTGAAGGCCCAGAGAGGTCAGGCAACTTCCCTGAGGCCACACAGCAGTCAGCGGCGGGGCAGGCCTGACATCACCGCGCCCTCCCGGAGGTCCGTGCGCTCCTGGCCTCTTCCCCGGCGTTGCCCTGACAGGTGGCCTCTGTTTCAGATACGGCTCCTACCTGGTCTGGAGAGAGCTGGGGGGCTTCTCGGAGGAAGCTGTGGTGCCCCTGGGCCTCTACGCGGGGCAGCTGACCCTGAACTGGGCGTGGCCTCCCATCTTCTTTGGCTCCCGACAGATGGGTGTGGTAAGTGCCTCCCTGGCCCCTGGAGATGGGCCGAGGAGGGGCGGGCCTCCTTCCGGGACACGGGCATCACACCCAGACGGGGCCAGGGCCCGAAGGCAGGAGCAGCGTGGTGCGCAGCTCACGGCAGCGTCCCGTCAGCACCTCAGGGGCTGGCGCCCTCTTGTGGAGCCTTTTCCTCCAGCGAAGGAGCCGGACGGGCTGCTGGCTCCGGTTTAGGGGCCAACGTGTAGGACAACCCACAGTGCACCTGGCACTGTGCACCCCACGCGGTGTGGGTCAGGCAGAGGCAATTGTTGCCATATTATATATGGGGAAACTGAGGCAGGGAGCTGGGGAGGGGCTTGGCCGGGCCATGCAGGGGTGGAGTGGAGTGAGTGCTCAAGCGGGTGGGCAGCTGGGACAGGCACCCTCGTGGGTACCTTGAGCCTCAGGCCCCCGTCCTCCGTGTCTCCACAGGCCCTGGTGGACCTCCTGCTGACGGGGGGGTTGGCGGCAGCCACCACCGTGGCCTGGCACCGGGTGAGCCCTCCGGCCGCTCGGCTGCTCTACCCGTACCTGGCC